AGTTTCATAAATTTCTAATATGACTGGGAATTAATTGAACTTGATTTGTTTATAGTCTGAAGACAGATTTACTAAGTATTGCGCAACAGCACAGTGTATTGCACAACAGCAAGAAATCTTTAATTTCATCACGTTCTAATGAAGTAACAAGCTTATTTTGCCGAAAGTTAGAATGATTTGATCTACAATTGAGTAACAAGTACCAGAAGTGATAAAAAAATTGTCTTTATGAAAATAACATGCAACCAACTTTAAAATCAATGCTTTAACCTCCTAAAGAAAATAAATTGTTTACGTCTTTGAATTTCTTTACTTTCAAATGAAAAATTGCTGTTTCATCGACTTGGTAAATGTTGAGTATTGCCGATGAAGAAAGCGACTGAAAGCGAGTATTGTAAACAACAGGGCGACTAGATTTCGCTTTTGAAGGTCGGTCAAAGCGAAGTGTCGACCGGGAAAGCGACTTTGTCGCCCCAGTAGCATGGTAACGTGTGCCCTGCACAATGCTTATTACTTTAAAACACAGTCCTGTAATATTTTGTATTCTACTTTGAATGTTGCCTGCTTATTTCAACAACTATTCTTACAAAACAATCCTCTATTTATCCTAGGTGTTGCACTCAGTATTGTTGATTATATTTATATGTATATGTAGTAAAGTGAATGCAACCCCCTTTTTGAAGGTAAGTAACAGTTAACAAACTTTATCACTTATCAGTAGTTTAGAATGGTTTAAAAAAAGATCTAATAGATGTTACATGCATTATGCCTTCCTCTCAAAAAGTTTGCATGTGTTTTAAAGTGGTTATTTAGCAATGTAATTTTTTCCCTCAGTATTAACATTAATTTGGAAATAAGTTCAAGGATTTCAGTTAACCAAATAATTTGGAAGTAAGTTAAAGGATTTCAGTTAACCAAAATTATTTCACGCCTAATTTATATAAACAAATCCCACGTCGATATATAACATGTACAACAATCAAACATCAACCCACGCCAAACTGGATGTAATTGAAAGACATCTAGAGGTCAATATACAGTCTCGAACAAAAAGACAAAATGAGGAAAAATATAGCGAATTTTTGAGAATTATTATTGCATGTATATTTGCAATATTTAAAATGCATAGTTTAAAATCTTTTGAGTTTTAGGTTCCACCTACCATTTTAGAAAACTGGGACTTCATTGCAGCTAGTCTATTAGATAACATTTTATAGTTTTGAATGTTTCTTCATCAGTTAACTAAAATTAGGTGGAGGTATGATCTTATTTCTGACAGAGGGGTACTCAACCTATATCAATTTGTGCATGAAGCGATTGATAGTTGCTAGATACTGAATAATTTTACCACAAATTTGTGAAAGTTTTAACCGGTGTATATACTTAAAATATGTTAATAAAGTTCACGTCTTTTTCAGGACTTCTGATCCAACCATGTAGTATGGCATGTTTGTGAGATATGGTTTTGCCCAGTAGGATGTTCATGAAGGACCTGTAGTACAAAGTATATCACTGGATTGAGCTCATTGTCTAAGTGTATTATTAAAGTGCTTTGCTTTGAGCTCAGTTCATTGTTATGCAATTCATTCTTTGTGAAATAAAGATTTGACAGACAACTCTCATGTACAAGGAATTGTCAAAGTAGTATCCATTCTATGAACAGTGTAAGTAATAGGGAGATAAAAGCATTTTATTTAGATTTGAACCAAACATTGTTTATCCATTAGCCAAACTAAAAAAAAGAAGCACAAATTCACCAAACAATGCTACTGGCGCTACTAGCAATATGATGCTAGGTTCTTTTGTTACACTTTATTATGCCCCAGCCGTATCGGAGGGGGCATTAAGTTTTACCCTTGTCCGTCTGTACGTACATACGTCCCAAAATTGGTTTCCGTTCTCTAACTTTAGTTTGCCTCAACCAAATGTTATGAAACTTATACACAATGCTTATTACCACAAAACACAGATCAAGTTTGAATTTTGGTGGCGTCACTTTTACAGTTCTAGAGTTATGCCCCTTTACAAATGGAAAATTGCTGAATTTATCATTTCCGTTCTCTAACTTTAGTTTGCCTCAACCAAATGTTATGAAACTTATACACAATGCTCATTACCACAAAACACAGATCCAGTTTGAATTTTGGTTTTGTAACTTTTACCGTTCTAGAGTTATGCCCCTTTACAAATGGAAAAATTGCTGAATTTTTCGTTTCCGTTCTCTAATTTTAGTTTGCCTCAACCAAATGTTATGAAACTTATACACGATGCTTATTACCACAAAACACAGATCAAGTTTGAATTTTGGTGGCGTCACTTTAACCATTCTAGAGTTATGCCCCTTAAGAAATGGAAAAATTTCAAAATTTTTATTTTCTTCTAAATATCAAGTAATTTTTTAATTGGAGTTATCTTCCTTTGTCCATGATTATAGTTGAATCAGCTACAATCAATGCTTTATACAATGCAATGTTTAATTTTGACTTCCACTGATAAAACACAAATCAAGTTGAATTTGGGTAGTGTCACTTTAATCATTATTGAGTTATGCATCTTTATAAATTGAAAGATTGCAAAAGTTTTAGTTTCCATTCTGTAAATTAAGTTTGCCCCAACCAAACATTATGAAACCTATACGCAATATTCATTACCACAAAACTAAGATCAAGTACAAATTCTTTGTTTCCGTTTTCTAACTTTAGTTTGCCTCAACCAAATGTTATGAAACTTATACACAATGCTTATTACTACATAATACAGATTAAGTACGAAATTTGGTGGCAACACCTTTACCATTCTTGAGTTATGTCCCTTTATAAACATAAAAATTGCTGAATTTTTCATTTCCGTTCTCTAACTTCCAAATGTTATAAAACTTATACACAACCGTTCTAGAGTTATAATTATTTATTGCGTGTTTACAAATAGAAATTGCTGAATTTTTAGTTTCTGTTCTCTACTTAAGTTAGCCTCAACCAAATGTTATGAGACTTGCACACAATGCTTATTACCACAAAACTAGGATCAAGTTCAAATTTGGGTAGCGTCACTTTTACCACTTCAGTTATGTCCCTTTATAACTATATGATATGCAAGTGGGGGCATCATCTGTGTCCACATGTGGACACTATCCACATTTATTTTTTTTTTACATCTGTACTGCCTACTGGTGACTCAGTTCTGAGTGCAAATGGTCATTCAGTATGTTAAGAAAAAGATCAGAATTTATAAGGCCTATCTGGCCTAATTGATTTCTAAAATATATTTCATTGTAAAATTCAACATTTATCATTCATTTGTTTATTTCTTAATTTGTGTGAATTAACAGTAAATGTTAGTTACTACACTTTCATACCATAACAAAACTGCCTTACTGTATTGGTATCACTTATATTTGTATCCAAATAACAAAAAAACTGAAAAGAGAATACTTTTGCAATAGCTTTTTCATATTGAATACTAAAACGTTTTAGATATTTAGACATATTAAGTAGATGTTCATAATATCCACTTGACATTTTATCATATGACTTCTGTAGTTAGTTATGAGTCTTTGAAGCATGCTCACAAAGGTTCTTTTGTTGATATCATTTTCATACTGGTCAAAACTTTTTTTTTGCTTTGACCAGCTTTGGAGGAGATATTTTCAAAGAATTAATAAAAAATAACACAGAAATTCACTTTCTAGCTCATCTAGCCCCAATCATCATGTCAGGCATTGTCATTACTAAAAAACATTAAATGTCTTCTAAACTGAGAAACAATTTCCACATTTAACCGAAATCTTTTACTTATGATACTGACAATCCCCCACAAAGTAATATAAATAGAACCATACAAATAGTAAGCAAATACATGTTCTCAGATACCATCCCCATATAAAAAAAAATCACATTAAGAAAAAAATGAACCTATTATGTGTTCCTCTCCTAGCTACAAAATGTATCCAAAATCAAAGATGTGGAACATATATATTCTATCATAATCATTTGGTAATTAATGCAATTAGTATCTGTTGAACATAAAAAACTAAATATTACATAAACAACACCCCTAATGCTAATGTTGGTTGTCATTGTGCAACACAGTTGATACATAGAAAACATAAAACATAGAACTCCTTTTGTCATATAAAACACTGTCAAACATCCAATCATACTGTCCACACTGATCTGTGTCCACACTTGTTCTTTATATTAAGATATATTTCAAAGTCTTATACTACCGGTATTTTCTGCCCAACATAATTAATGAAAACCTACAACTAAAATTTAGCTTATTGTGAAATAAATGTATAGTTTCTTGCAAAGTTTTATATCGTTATCAGATTGAATTCAAATGAATGTACAGCTATCATTGACCTATTGCAAACCTGCTCATATTGATAAACTAATTTTAACCACAAATATCCTAATTTTACACCCGACACAAATTTATGACAATTTACGTTGACGAAAGAACTACCTAGACTTTAAACTGATATGTATAGATATAGCGATAATTGTCTTACATGTGTTTGTTATCTTAAACATGTTAAAGTGAAAATGTTAAACTTGCTGAATTATGAATTTTATTTGTTTTCCTTTGTGTTAGTTAATATGTAGTGATATTTTTCCAACTAACTAGATTTTAAAATGGCTGTTTCGCAGTCTATAGAAAAGGCCCAAAATATGGCCTTGTGTCAGTTCTGTGAAGAATCTATTATTCAGTGGAAATGTATACACTGTGATTTGTTTTTGTGTCAGTTTTGTTGTTCAAGGATTCATAGCAAAATTAAAGCCTCTCAAGAACATACAATAATAAATTTGAAAGACTGTGGAACTAAAGAGGCTACTGCGATTATCCAAAAAGTGGATCTTGAAAACATGCCATGCACAATCCACAGTGAAAGAAAATGCTGGGTCTACTGCAATGACTGTAGTAATCCTATTTGTTCTGAGTGCTTAACAGGGTCCCATAAAAAGCACGAATACAAAAAACTTCATGAAGTTTTTGATTCCATGATTTCGAATATCCATGCTCTGAAAGGTAGATTAGAAACAGAGATTCGATGGTATAAGAATGAAAAGGAAAAACTCGAACAGCTGCTTTCGGATGGAGAGGAAAACTTCCAGGAGACAAAGAATAAGATTATTCAAACAAAAACGGAAATGAAGAAAATAATATCAACATATTCTAGTGATCTGCTACAAGAACTAGAGGGAAAATGGAGACCAGAAGAAAACAAAATAAAAATAAAACTTTCGAATCTTGAAAAGAATAAAGATGAATTAGAATCGAGGAAAAGACTGCTGGATAAAACACTCCTATCTCATCAATCTTCCGATATTTTTTCTGTAGGTCAAACACTAGTCAACACACTGCCATATAAATCTTTTCCACGAATACAACACGGGAAGACAAAGTTTATTCCAGGAAAAATATGGAAATTTGAGAGTGAAGTATCAACAACATTTGGTGAGCTTTACACTGTTCCATCTCTAGAACTAATTGATAGTTACGAAACTGATATCTCAATTGTGACAAAGATACATTGTGACTATAATGAAGTAGTGATAGGTAGTTGGGTTGATGAAAAACTACAAACAGTTAAGTCTAAGCGCTGGAATAGAAGCGTATGGAACAAAGATAAAATTAGAATTTATGATATGGCACGACTACAGAATGGAGACTTAATTCTATCAACAAGAAATCACAATTTAAGACAGTATACAACAAATAGACAAGGAAATTTAAAACATTAGGTATTCATGTAAGCACAAATGATCAAATATTAGTAGGACTGGTTGAATCACATGGTCTTACAAGTCCTACGAGATACAGCGTAAGGAGAGTTGTGGTTATGAATCAAGACGGTTTCATACAACATACTTATGAGTATGATTCAAACAGTCAGAGACTATTTTCATGGCCGAGACGAATAACGACTCATAATGACAACATATTTGTTGTTGATCTTACAAATAAAAAATTGGTGGGAAGGGTTGTAGTGTTAGACTATGAGGGTGAAATACAATGGACGTACACTGGTTGCAATAGTATAAATTCAAATCAATCTAAATTTACACCACAAGACATAGCAGTTTCACCAAATGGCAGGATAGTGGTTTCCGACAGAGACAATAATGCTGTACATGTATTAAGTCCTACTGGAGAGGTTATAGAATATAAAGAGTTGAAGACATTTGGAATAGATATACATTTCAGTGTTTGCATTAACCAGTACGATGATTTGTGGATTGGCTGTAATACAATGACAGATAAAAATAAGGCCAAGATTTTTCATCTGAAATTAATATAAGGCGTTTAACATGTTTAAGAAATAACATACCAATATAATTCCATGTAAAATCTAGAATTAGTTGGTAAAGGTCCATCACGTGGTATTATCTCAATTAAAGATAAATCAAGTAACACATGTGAAATGTCATTTTTTCAAGATAAGTTCAACAAATATTAGAATCGGATGGTTGGGAACGACCATTCATATTTTGTTGCTGCTATAAGGTAATACCTCAGTATTAGTTATATGCGGTACAATAAGTAAAACAGATGTACCAGGATATGTATTATCATATACGTCTTCTGATAGGATAAAAACAGTCGGATATTGTGGGACCAACAAGTTGATTTATAAGAGAGGCGAAAGATACCAAAAGGGCATTCAAACTCATAAATCGAAAATAAACTGACAAAGCCATGGCTTTAGACAGAGACAAACAACAGTTCACAAAACACAACAAAGAAAAGTAAAGACTTGCTCAACAAGAACACCACGAAAAAATGGCGGTGATCTCAGGTGCTCCGAGAGGTTAAGCAGATACTGCTCCACATGCATGCACTGTGTCTAACCTACCCCGGCAAAAAATGTTTGGACTCGATGGTATCTTATATCCGGCACGGTGACGGAACATAAAGGTGTAATACCACCATTGATTTTCCCCTATTAGTCTTTTTTAAATTTGCACTTTTCAAAAAATTGTGCAGAATTTATCTTTGTTTCAAATAAAGAAATACCTATTATGAGTAAAGTTTTATCCTGTCCAGTACTATAGAAAAAAATTTCACATAACATTTCATTGCATATAAGAAAATAACCATCACTGGAAGTTAACTAATCAAATTTTCCCCTTTTATTAACCTGTGTACAAGCTTTAGTAACCATGTAACCTCAAGTTTCCAATATATTCTATAGAAACCCCAAATAAAAAAATAATGGTGCTTTTAAATACCCAAGATATATGTTTATGATGTTTATGGATAAAACGGGAAAAAGCTGACAAAAATCTTTGGACTCTTTTTTTAAATCAGTAATGAACATAGTTGATATACGTATTCAACATTTTAAAGAACATTTTACTCTTAACAATAACCACAATAAACCTATTTCTCGTATCAAACATAAACTAAAAGAACTAGCCAAGGAATTTGTTTTTGTCCCGGCCGATAAAGCTGCTAATAATATTATTATTGTTTGACGTAAATTTTACATTGAGGTTCTGAAAAAAGAAATCACCAATTCACCAACATTCCAACTGACCCCATTTTCAGAAAACGACATCTGTAACAAACATTAACTTTTAGCTACCGCTTTACAAGCAGAACCAAATACAATGAAAGTCCCAACTATGTATTGGCTTCCGAAGCTACACAAAACACCTTACAAATATAGATTCATTTCGTCTTCAAGCCATTGTTCCACTACTAAATTGTCTATTCTTCTTACCAGTACACTTGGTACAATCAAAAACCTGATAATAAATTGTTCAAATAAGGCCTTCGAAAATAGTGGAATTAATTACTTTTGGAGTGTCAAGAACTCGTTGGAAGTACTTGATAAATTGCATGCATATATTGGTGATTTTGAATCTGTTCAAAGTTTTGATTTTTCTACCCTATATACCACATTGCCTCACATTCTCATTAAGAAAAAATTCACACACCTAATTAAATGGGCATTTAAAAAGTCAGAATGTGAATATATATGTTCAAACTCTTTTAGGTCATTTTTTAGTAGCAATAAACAAAAAAACTATGTCAATTGGACATGCTTTGATACTATATATGCCCTTGAATTTTTACTAGATAACATTTTTGTTCGCTTTGGAGATTCCGTATATCGTCAGGTTATCGGAATTCCAATGGGGACTAACTGTGCACCACTTATTGCGGACCTTTTTTTGTATTGCTATGAGTTACAATTTATGACAAAAATCAGTAAAGACCCATCAAAACAACATCTGATACACAAATTTAATAATACTTTTAGATATTTGGATGATATTTTGGCTCTCAATAATGACGACTTCAGTATGTATACTAAAGAAATTTATCCTGTTGAACTTACTTTAAATAAAGCTAATACTAACAATGACCACTGCCCTTTCCTCGATCTTGATATCTATATCATTAACGGAAAGCTTAATACTAAAATATATGATAAAAGAGATGATTTTTCATTTCCTATCGTTAATTATCCATTTTTAGATGGTGACGCTCCCTTGTCACCATCTTACGGTGTTTATATATCTCAACTTGTACGATTCGCTCGTGTATGTAACAATGTTTTAGATTTTAACGAGAGAAATTTATGTATAACTGAAAAATTATTACACCAGGGTTTTCGATATTACAAACTAGTCAAAACATTTACTAAATTTTATCATCGGTATAAGGACATCATTCGTAAATATAGCTCAACATGCAGACTTCTTTTACGTTCAGGTATTTCACATCCAATTTGTTATGGAAATATTCTTTATAAAGCACAAAAATGTCAGTATTCACCTCTGAAACTAACAAAACCTTTAAATAGACTTATTAAGAAGGGATATAGTTACGATACTGTTGTCAGGTCATTAAAGATTGCATATTTTGGCGTTAATATTGATTCACTTATAGGGTCTTTGCATCGGCACTAAACACATTTATTTAAAAACCAGTTGTTGGCATGACACGGGTTATGTTCTTCTCATATATGTTATGATGGTATGATACTTAACCCCTAACGGGAAGGATTGTGCCTGATATTCATATGATGAAGACATAATCTTTCAATCAGTTTAATTGAAGTCTGGAGCTGGCATGTCAGTTAACTGCTAGTAGTCTGTTGTTATTTATGTATTATTGTCATTTTGTTTATTTTCTTTGGTTACATCTTCTGACATCAGACTCGGACTTCTCTTGAACTGAATTTTAATGTGCGTATTGTTATGCGTTTACTTTTCTACATTGGCTAGAGGTATAGGGGGAGGGTTGAGATCTCATAAACATGTTTAACCCCGCCGCATTTTTGCGCCTGTCCCAAGTCAGGAGCCTCTAGCCTTTGTTAGTCTTGTATTATTTTTAATTTTAGTTTCTTGTGTACAATTTGGAGTTTAGTATGGCGTTCATTATCACTGAACTAGTATATATATTTGTTTAGGGGCCAGCTGAAGGACGCCTCCGGGTGCGAGAATTTCTCGCTGCATTGAAGACCTGTTGGTGGCCTTCTGCTGTTGTCTGTTCTGTGGTCGGGTTGTTGTCTCTTTGACACATTCCCCATTTCCATTCTCAATTTTATTATGACCCAGAAATGTTTTACTGCAATGAAATGAAGGATTAATTACTTACAACTGTCAAATTCAAAGGAATATTTTTTTTCGACCTATTTTCGTATCCAGCCGGATGTGACGTACTATGATTTGGTGGTATTACACCTAAAGAAGACTTTTTTGTTGAATAAACTGAATGTGACTTTTTTCCTTTGTAATACTGGTTATTTCAAGCATTCCTGTCAAGTTTTGTCATAATCAGTTCAATAGTTTGAGAAAAATCTAGTATAATGTAAGATGACATCTACAGCGATTCGAGCAAAATTTCTTTGAAAGATCCAAACCAAGCCGCATCATGATAGAATATAGTGTGGACCAATAAATGATCAAATATTTATCTCATCTGCCTACAAACAGTTGAATATGATACAAAAGATGACTTTAGGATGATAAATACCACTAAAGGACCTCTTTTTCTTCCTTATAAGGTCTGTTTTGGTCCATTTATACCTCTCATTTCCTCAAAATTTCAACTTTTTAGGCCAATAAATAAAAATTTTGGGGTAACTTTCACTCATTTATGATAGAAATGTTATAATAAATGAGTAATTGAAGTATTCAAGCTGAATGAACTATCAATATAAAAGTTAACAGTCTCCAAGGAGGTTTCAATAAGTCCTTATGTAAAACTTAAATTTACGCAGCGTTCCAGAGAAGGACAGAAAAAGCTTCTCTTCTAGTGAATAATTTATTGTTACTGCTTTAAAAGTAATTTCATTTACTTATAACTATATATTTATTAATGTATTTCTTAGGAAAAATTTTCTGTTATAGCAGAATATAAGAAATAAGGAGAAAAAGCTCCTCAAAACACTAAGTATGGCTTGTTCTGTCAACTAATATTCATGGTAGAGTCCTATTTCAAGGAAATTTTCTCATAAAATGCATACCTGCCAACCTCTGAAACCTTCAAAGAGGGAGATCTCCCTCTCAGCTATGACAGCTGAGGGGGAGATTTTGTGCGAACGACATTTTCAAGTGAAATATATGACGTGTTTATTTATTTATCTACGAAACACATATAAGAGTTAATAGATATACTTTGTTTCTTTAAATATGGTTATATCCTACAGAAGGTGTGTTGTTTGTTTCTTTCCTATTTCATCAACTTTGACATTTGAATCCAATCAGGAAAACTATTCACCCCAGATACCTCTGTATCATACAGAGTGCAATCATGTTGCCTCAGATAGTGCAAAAAGTGTGTGCACTTATATATTCCACTAAATTTGGTTCAATACATACCTTATAAATTTCAATATAAACATTGAATAGAAGTAGAGATCTTCTAAGATATTTTTAAATATAATTATTTTTTTTTGTCTAAAGGCATATAAAATCTTTTAATTGCCATCCTTTTATGATTCTTTGTTTAATTTGTATTTAGTTTATATTGTTTTATCAATTCACATTATTTTAAGAAGGGTAACTCAAAACAGGATTAAACAGGGGAAGTAACCCGAAATTTCTTTGAAGTATAACACAAAGCTTTAAGCAAAAGTCGATAATGATCGTGAATTAGTACTATGTTTGACACCCAAGCTGTCAAGTGAAGCCATTTAGTTTCACATGGTCTGTGATTTACAGGTAAAAACAACCCTCATCAGAGACACAAAAACGTAATTATTGTTGACTTGTCATTCAAGGTTGAAATATTCAAAAGCGGGAGTTTCTATACTCCCGCGCGGGAGGGTACCGGCAAGCGGGA